GGGGCATGTATGTGCGGGCAGGAGTCACCATAGGTCCATGGAGTCACTGCAGGTTGGAGGTTCAAAGTATCTCCATAATTCAGAAAAAAAATTACTCCAAAAAACGGAGGAAAAAATTATTTAAAAAAACCAAACCAAAAAATAAATTACTCAGAGTATTTATTTTTATTTTTTCAAGTGAATGTAAGATGCTTCCGTATCAATAAGAGTTAAAGAGATTTGGTACATTTTGTGCCACGATAACACAGCTGTTGTAAGGATATATACTTTCTGTTATTTTCTGATCTGAGAATAGACGTTTTTAAAGTGAATTCGTGATGAGTTGCCTTCGTGCACAAATCATGCACAGATTTGGTAGTGAGTTTATACATAATCCAAAGAGTAGAAATGCATGGTAAATAAGCACATGGAACAGTGAATTTGTGTTGCATTAAAAATACATCATAAATGCATTAATTGTATAATTGTGGTATAAATGCTTTTGCTTCAGTATCTGAATACTTCATCATTGCTGCAGCGGCCTTGAGTTCGAGTCCGACCTATGGCCTTTGCCGGTGTCATCCCCTCCCTCCCCTGTTTCCTGTCTATCTTGAATTGTCCTGTCCAATCCACAAAATCTGAATACTTGTTCACTGATAGTGTTTTAAAGTAGAGCAGAGCTTCCATGCCTTTATTTTGAAGTAAACATCCTGTATCTGCTGGTTTCATCATGGTTGTGTGCATCAGCGTTGACAGGTCGGTGTGTGTGTGCTGGAGGTGTGGTCTCTGTCAGGAAACACTGCAGCAGCAGCAGCAGCAGCAGTGCTGAGTGTGAAAGCTTCCAGAGCTTCAGAGAAAGACACCGACGTTCAGTCCAAACACATGATTGTTCTCTGATCAGTGGTGAAACAGAAAGCTGCTGTCCGGACGTTTCTCTTCACATCAGCTGAACACTGAACACGGGACAGACTGTTCCAGCACAGGCAGAGAGGACACACAGGAAAAACAAAGAGCTTGACACAAATATTCTCAGTGTCTTTGTGTTTCCAAAGCTTTCAATCTCATCGCGTGGGCTTCATTAGTGGATGGAGACTCAGTTGTCAAGGAGATGGTTTTGTTGTTGTCACATTTGTTTTCTAAGGAATTTAAAAAGATCAAATCCCTTTTCCCCGTGTTTGCACAGCTCATTTGAACTACCTTATAGACCGAGTTTGAGCTACAGCAGTGCATCATATTCTATCATCACATGTTTGCAGTGTAGTTGTCCTGTGAGAGGTTCTTCCTATTGAGACACAGCTGTGTGAGGTCTCAAGTCTTCCAAAAACAGTCAATGTCAGGTTTCAGGCAGAGATAAGACAGTCCAAGTCAGATCTCAAGTCTCAAATTACAAGTGAAGATGAAAGTCTTTCAGTATCCTAAATGGTGAACTCTTAAATAATAGTTCATTTTATATTTAAAGCTGTGTTAATAGTTTCAAGTTTAATTTCCCTCAAATTCACTGATTCAATCTTAGAGATTATCTGTTGGTACCACTGATATACAACGAGTCACTGTGTAGCTAGATGAATCTCTTGAATTTTTGACTAAAATACTCTCAGAGCTCTCATTCATTATTTAAACTCTGTAACACTAAACCTAGAGGAGTCATGGGAAAGACAGAGAAAATGGCAAAGTCGACTGACGCAAGGCCCCAGACCCAGTCTATCCACTGAATAAAGAGATGAAGTAAAGAAATTATATCAACCCTCCATCGAACTCTCAGACAGCAAACACGCCAAAGTAAACGTCAAAGCAATGGAGCCTGACTGGGATTAGTAATGTGATTACTGAATTTCAACTTGTAATCCCTCTCGTGATATCGTTACTGATAAATATATTCACATTACTGTAATGTGTCATAAGTCAGTTGTTGCTAAAACTGATATCAATCAGCCATGTCATTCTATGTGTTGTTTTTTTGTGTGTGTGCTTTTGTAGCTGCAAAAGTAACTTTTACTGTAACATAGCAACGTTATACAACCCAGCTGACACTCTATTGTTAATATATTTGATTCATATATTAGCAACAGTAATTATAAGTAATTAGTAAGTAATACAGGGCAGAGGTCAGTATTGTCTATTTAATTAATATAATAATCACAATGATATATATGATATTTATAAGTTTTAGTGAAGTTAATAATTTGACACTAAGTCGAGTTGCATGTACATATCAAAATCTCAAATGCTGTGCATACTAAAGTCATCAAACCTGGTACACAGTTACCTCGTGCTGATATGCTAAACATATTAAAGCATATATGTGCATGTTGTCAGTTATTAAGTATGTCAGTGCAATAGGTATTTCAAATTTCAAGAAGACATTTTCTGCTTCTTTCGGCACATTTCTAATCTAATCTTCAGCAAAATCGGTGCATAGCATATTTAGATGAAGCCGAACATGACTTATAGGTTTGTGTGTGGGTATTCCTTACTGTTTGTCTGTAATGGGTTACCAAACTTTTGAATACCTCTGCGCAGGCTCAGAACGTATGCGTTGGTTCACTGTAGTTGGTGTTGTGTGTTCTAGTGTCACTTTCTGGCCAAGACACAAGCAACGTGAGGCGACAATACAGTCAGATTTTGTCACCAATAGCTCTTTGATGTGGGTTCGGTGTGTCAGGGGTTTAAAATGCTGACTCAGTTCTGGAGTTTAGCACTCAAGATCAATCAATCAAATATGGTGATTCATTTAAAAACTGAGGCAGCATCAGAAACCTCCAGAGAAAAGATGTAGAAAATGTTTTTTTCTTCCACAGCAAAATTTTCATTCGCAGCTTTAGTTGTCACCATGGAGACATAACAACGGATGCTATTGACTTTCAACCACATCCTGTGGCCACAAAGTGGTTAAACACACACCAGTGCAAACACAAACACACACGTTCACACATTCAGCAGCAGCAGCAGGAAGTGAAGCTGGAACCTGCAGCAGTCTCTTGACTAAAGTTAGTAGGTGAGCTGGACTGAAGATGTCAGTTGAACTGACCAGAGGACATGCAGAGAGTTCAAAATCAACCTGATTGTGTGTGTTCATTAGGTGTGTCGAATGCAGGTTAGCAGGCCGCAGCGAAAGCCTCAGCCGCACCACAGGCAGCAGCCGCGCTCACCAAACCACAGAGGGGTTTTGGGGTTTTTTAAGCGCTGTGCCCTGTACTAGTTCTGTCGTATGCAAGAAAAACATTTCCCAGTGATCGAGCGCCTCTCTTCAGGTAGAAAGAGTTAAACCTTTAAAGGGCAGAGACAGAAAATAACTTCAGATTTAGTTAGAGACACAATCAGACAGAGAGAAACATTCAAATACTTCCATGTTTGTTTTGACCTTAACATTTGGATATTCATTACTTTCTAAAAAGAGTTCATAGTAATCTCCTACTGTATAAGCTACAAGGCCAAAAGTATGTGGACAGCTGAATATTCCCTCCATATGTGACATCAAGGTAATTAATCTGCTGCTCACTTTTCTTTCAGCTCCAGTACAGATATATTTCCTTACTCTAGCTCCCTCTAGTGGTCACCTATCGTAATCACAATCAGACTAGAAACTTGTCCCACCCCCATCTTGTGGACCTCCAGAGGCCTCATTTATAAAACTCTATAAAAGAATATTCACATCCATAAAGCAGGCAGTCTTCTTATTATAAATACCCACCTGCAGTGAATTGTGCAGACGTGTACTCCCACAATCAACCACAAATGCTCAATGCTAATAGCTTGTGAATATGCCGACTTATTTAAGGAGCCTTTGTTGTACTGTCAATGACAGAAATACAAGAGTGATACTAAACTCCTAAAATACCATCAAACACATGATAAACAGCAAATTAACAGTGTTATAAATCTGTGTTTAATTCCACGTGTATATATCGATCCATCAAAAACCTCTTTATCTGATATTTCTAGAGTTACATGATTTTACGTAGACACAAGGAGTTGGTAATATTTAATATTCTTGTAGTGGTAATAATAATAAATACATATTCTGCAATCTAATGGTGACGTGCATTTCATAGTAAATCTCTATGTGTTTTTGTTACGCCCCCTAAATTTTGTTCATTTGCAATTATTCCTAATTGTGCTTTTGTGCATCTATCTAATTTTTCTAAAGTGGGATTTTGTGCAAACTCATCCATTTGAAAATCCATTCTCCCTCCACACACGAGAAATAAAAAAGCACCAACCAAACATAAGATAGGACAAAATTTAGTGAGTCTTGTTTTTTTGTTTTTTTTCTATTTTTTCTCTTACTAACGAGCACAGGACAAAAAATTAACTAATGAAGAACGGACGAGCCCCCGATTTATGTTACACCCCTGTTTATGGGGAAGGAGCGCCACATCAATGTATAAAGGAAATGAACCAATAATCCTTCCCCGATTCTCAAACAAACAACTAACACAGTGTTAACAATGAAGTGATGTAATTTATTTACAACACGTGAACAAAGTGCAACCAAAACCAAACAACAAACTTCAGGGTGAACCGAGGCCAAAACAACAAACAAAACAGAGCTAACTTTCTCAAACAAAAATCCTGACTAATCCCTATTTAATATAAAACAAAATACAGTTACTAAACCTTGACTCCCTAACCTCATGAAAAAACAGGAGAAAAGCAGTACAAAGAAAATGGCAGTTCACCCCTACAATACTCACTACATACAACCATAGAAAAACACAATCTGATACTAACTTAACAATTCACGCTATCTCGAAACAAAACACCCTCTAGACTGAGGACAGAAGGATGCTGCTGCTGAGGGTTCTGTCCATCTTCTGTGCAGACAGACGTTTTAAACCCCGGCGGATGTTGCGGCTCCCCGGGAGAACCAACCAGCATGCGACACTACACGAGCCGAGCCCACGCCCTGGACCAGTCAGAGGGGACCTACGGGTTGACGTCAAAGATCTCGCATCGGACAGGCGGCACACTCCCAGAGAAACAGGGACGAAAAACACCAACAATGCCAGAACATACTAATCATACTAATAATACGGCCAGGGCCGTAACAGTTTTATATTTTATGTATTTTTTCATAATCTCACCATCTGCCAGTTTTATGCATTGATGAAAGCATGCACAGAAATACGAACCCTTTACTGCATAGTTTATCTATAAATCCTGATTCATGCTGTCTCAAAAGCATACGCACATTTGACCACGTTTTAGACAACTTTTTTGTGCGTAGAAACCTTTTTTTGGAGCCAGTAGAGTCGCCCCCTATTGGCCATGACAAAGACTGCAGTTTTAAACTTTTCATACCTAGAAGCTTTTTCCACTATTTACATACAATCTATGGTGTAAATTAACCCTTTGTGTGCATTTGAGTTTGGACTCAATCGTCTGTTTTACCAGTTCATACCAGAATGTCAGCATAGCGGGAAAAGAAGAAAAATCACACAATTCTGCTTTAAAGCTGTGAAATATTTCCTTCCTAGAATCAGAAACAGCATCAAGCGACAACCTCTGAGGCTGCACATGAATCCAACACTGAAGTAACAAAACCTGCAGTTCCTCTGACGTCCACTAGAGGCTCCAGCAGTGAGTCAGTCTCTGTAAGGCCCTATATTACAATGTCCAACTTTACAGCAGAAATCAACATGTTTACAGCCTTTTTGGCCTCTATAGATAATTTCATCATTCATCACAACTGTACAGGAGGGTGAATTTATATACAACTTACTTTAAATTATATTAAGGATTAAAGTTTTGCATAATTAAAGGCGTGGCTGATGGGACCCATCACACGGCCAGAGCCGATCACACTGAGCTTCACAAACCTGTGGGGGACGTCACGGAGACTATGTCTATTTTAGACGCAATCTATGGTTTTGATGAGTTTGGAGATCTTCAACCCAGTTTCACACACTGACACCAACCGCTGGTCCAGCTGGGTTTTATAGTCTGTATGCAGACAAACTTCCTAATAATAAAAAATAGACATGAAGGAAGTAGAAACAAAAGAATGGAAAAACACACACAGTGTCTGGGAGGTGCTNNCACACACACACACACACACACACACACACACACACATTCATGTGCTACCTCTGTTGTTTCTTCAGCAGTGTCATTATGGACGTCCAGCTGGTCTGCAGCACTTTGAGTCTACTGTTACCTGTTATAGGAGGTGAGCTGACACACACACACACACACACACACACACACACAGAGAAACAAAGAAACAAGTCTCTTTACCTTGTGATGTGATTCCTCTCCTGGTAAATATGTTACAATAGCTCTAAAGTCAGATTTCCTTTTAAAACACAAGTTAGTCAATTAAAGCAATTAAACCCTGCCAGCAGGATCAGTTGGCCCTCGCAGTCCACGTGCGTCGGGGCGTGCACGTTACCTCTTCAGCCTGGCTTTTAACCATTGACAGTTTATATAAGCTTTTAAGTAAGGAATGGTTTATATACATCATTTACTATTTTTTACTCATTTCTCTTTGCCGTATTCAGTGAATTTCATTAATTCCAAATATCCTTCTTATTGTTGTTTACTATTGCTATTTGTTTATAGGTTCTGTCTGCTTTCTTATTTATTCATTTATACTGTCGTTATACCTGTAAAATCTATAGTATTATATTTTATTATCATTTTTATCCTTGTATTCTATTTTTCAACCTACTTTAAGTTTTACTCCATTCTGTCTTATTAGTGTCTTGTCAATAGTCTGTGAAGCATTTTGAACTGCAACTGTATAAATGTGCCATACAAATAAAGTTTGATTGACTGATTATATAAATCCATGTATTTCCTATTTTCTCTTTTATTTTCTCTTTTACTGAAGTAAAGATAGATCTGATACCAATCTGTATGCATTTAGAACTAATCTATGAGTGTTGGTAGACATCGTTCTCTGTTCGAACAGTTGTGACAGTAAACCATAGATGCTGTTGTTCCCCTGCCCTCCCAGCAGCCCTCGGCTCTGGAGATGACGGCTGGTCCATGAATGTGCAGTCCGAGGTCCGAGCCATCCAGGGCTACCCGGTGGTTCTGCCCTGCACCTTCAGCCACCCCCAGCACTCCCAGCATTCCTCTCTGCAGGTGCTGTGGCGTCTGGGCCACGGGCAGGGCTCCACCGTCCTGTACCGCTGCACCAGCCGGCCCGGGGCTCCCACCTGTGAGCCAGGGCCCCAGCAGGACCAGCGCTACCGGCTGGAGGGCAACCCGAGGGAGCACGACCTGTCGCTGCGGATCAACAGCGCCACCCTGCAGGACAGTGGACGCTACTACTGCAGAGTGGAGGTTCAGGGGCGAGAACATGTCAGCTTTGAAGACAAGATGGGAACCAGGCTGCGAGTGGAGGGTATGCTTATACAGACAGCAGAGTCAGAAATACTGAATCCATTTACACGCTGACAGTGTTGCAGGGGATTAAAAATCACCAACCTGAAGTCAATCTGTTTTACTGTTTTAAAACAGATTTTATTCTGTACTGACCCCGTCATATCAGGTGATGTAGTAGAGAGTGAGAAAGTCCATGAAGGGAAGTGGCTGAGGGCGGATTTGTGGGTAATTTTATTCAGGTAACTCTGCGTATTACTTTGATGGTACTCGACTATCGGAGTGTGGTACTGAATGTAAATAAGTTACTGCTGTATGAAAGCTGCCACCAGGGGGCGACTGTGGTATTTACTCGTAGGTTTTCTTTCTTCCTGTCTGTGCTGCAGCTCCTCCAAAGATCCTGTCTCTGTCAGTGGAGGGCAGTGAGCAGTCCGGGTACAGAGCGGTGTGTCGGGTCCAGGGCTCCCCGCTGCCGGATGTCCAGTGGCTCGGCCCGGACGACCTGCTGGAGGGTTCTCCGGTTGTTCCTCTGGCTCAGGGCTCCGTGGCTCACTACCACACCGTCAGCCAGCTGAGAGACGTGGAGCCGGGCCAGCAGTACACCTGCAGCGCCTCCAACCCGCTGGGCAAAGAGCAGGCCACCCTGTACGTCCTGGCCCCCCGAGCCCCGCTGCCTGGGAGCGGGGCCTCGCCTGCTCTCCTGCTGCTCCTGTCGGTGTCTCTGGGTGCTAAGGTCCTCCTGCTGGTGGGGATGGGGGTGTGGATGGTGCAGGGAGGAGCTCTGCAGGGAGTCAGCTGCTGGTGGAAATAACCGGCTCTGATAGAATTGAATGTAAATGAGCACTTTATTTCAAGTCCCTTATTAGCATTCATAAGCCCTGTATAAACATATCATTCATAGTTAAATACACTCTATAATGTGTTGTACGTAGATATTACTTTGTATTTATTTATTTGTTAAATACTATCTTGTTAACTCCACTCATGTGGACACTGCTGTATAATCAGATATTGAACTATGATATAGTAAAACACTGTTATATAATGTACAACAAATAATAAACACTTAAAAATGTCCTTACATCACTTTAAAACCACATTATCTAGAGATATAAAGTATTTATTAAATGTTTGCATACTGCTTATCAATGCTAAATATAAAAGTAATGTGTGTAATCCCACATGAATGACCTATATTATCCATATTTGTAGAGGAAATTATAATTATTAGTAATCACTTGATCTGAAAGGAGTTTCAGAGGCTTTAGTGTCCTGATGAAAATCAATAAAGTCCTGAAAACATTTCCACCCAGATTGTGGCTGTGAATTTCCTCCATTGCTTTACAGTCCAGTTGATATTATAGTAACTTACACTAATATTCTATTCAGTCAATTCATTTATTTTCCATAACTGTGGTACATATCCTGATAATATTTGAAGAAAGATTGATCATATCCAGTAAAGAAGTGGATCTAATGTAAGAACACTTGAGGAAAACATGTCTGAGACACAATATTTGTAAGGGCCCATATGATCCATAATTTTACAGTTTATTTCTCATTATTGCTAAAAAAAAAAAAAATGCGATTCTGGTTGTAATGTATTGTTTTGGACAGTAGGTGGTGCTGCTGTTTAAAGAATGACATTCAAACTGAGCTTCTGGAGCTTTTCTCTTCCTCCCTTATTCCTAATCCTGTATTTACTGTATGTGTGTGTGTGTGTGTGTGCTGCTGTGGCTGGTTTCATTTCATCCCTGAGGTTGAACTTAATGAGGTTCTTTTCACTGTATAATCTGCTAATATTCTGTATCAGACTGAAGGAAATCCACATCCTGATATTAACAACTCATCTAACTTGTACTTGTGCTGTGAATCTCCACAGTCTAACTTCTACACACACTGATATATTTCATACATGTTGCTGTAAATGAAGCCTGTTGGTTGGATTTCTTCTGTGGATTTCCAGAGTTTTCAGTCTGACTGAGGAAGTGTTGCACATTTCCAGCCGAGGTGTGTTTCTGTCCTTCAGTGAGCTGCAGACTCAGGAAAATGAGTGTGTGGCTGCTGAGAGACGTCAAACAGCAGCAACAACCCGCACACAGCAGAGAACATGGAAGGATGTCTGATATGGGACCAGCATCCCTTTCACTTCATCCATTATGACAACCTCAGTCAGGAGCTTTTATTACTCTTTAGATATTGACAAAAATAATCATTGACTTTAATTTTGAACAGTTTGTGTTACAGCAGTTTCTACTGTAAATTAAAAACCAATAAATACAATTGTATTTGATGTAAATAGCTGTTACT